ACTCTCATATTTATGAACAAACGTAATCTCCAATCTAAAAAAGGAGAAATTCTTCTGTCAAAAAGTTCGAAGATATTTCTTTTACTCTTACAGTACCTTTGAAGACCTTCAGTCGGAAAATACAAATCAGGATACTCAAGTTTGTCGTTCGTCTTTTCAGCCATCTCAAGTTTGTTGTTCGTCTTTTCAGTCATCTCAAGAAAAACTAAAAAAAAAAACCTTACGGACGATCTTTTATACAATTTTGCCTCTGCGGAGCAGCCTACCACGTGGTCTTATACAAGACCCTACGCAGGAGCGCTAGGTTTAATATGCAACAGGTGGAACCCTAGTATACACTACTCTCCAGAAGATAGATTTTCCATCCCAACACCAATTGCACATGCGAAACTTTGCTTTATAGTTCCTAGAGTTTTCTCTATCTTCTTTTTCGCATATGATATGCGTCTATGTTTTGGTATGCCATGGGTTTTTACTAGGGAAGCACCTATAGCCATAAGACTATCATTGAGAGCGTCCCTATTTTGTTCTTGAGTAAAGGAGCTATCCAGTTCACCAATGTCCTTATCCTCGAATGACTTTGAATCAACTTCTATCGTAAGGCCAGTTTCTTTCAGTGTTGCTGTGGCTCTGTCAAAACACTTTCTACACAACTTCCAACCAGGCACTGACTCAATATTATGCTCAGCAAGTTGCCTTGCTAGCAATAGTGATATTTTATGGCCACCCTTCACCAACTTAGTATGAACATTGAATATGTTGCAGCACTTTGTATGTTGGCTTTCAAATGCAGAACCCTACTTAGCTTCATTATGAAAGCAAATATGTTTCACCTCATCTGCGCCCCTTAATCCAGCTCAATATAATAAAACACTACACACCTCAGGATCTAACTCAGACATAATTTTCATTCCATTCTTCCGAACAAAATGTGTTTTATGACATTCTTCTTTCAAGTGAATACCAAAATCGCATTTTTCCATTGTCAACTGAGATAAAAAAGTCTGAACTTCTTAAACGACACAGAAAACTAAAGTTGACAATTCAGAGTCTCAGTAATTCCATCAAGCAGTGAAGACATACCAGGAAAAACAACCCATTAAGAACTTCCTGCAGCAGTGCTTTAGCAATAGTGTCAAGGAAACAGATGATTATCAGCTTCCTGAATAACCAATTAAGGTGTCATCAAGGGCTATTCGAATATACTTCAACAAAGCGGGGGTGTGAACACAAGGAAATTATTGAATTTGAAGGCAAATAATAAAGAGCTCAAGAATGATGCAGATTGAAAAAAACGGGGGAAGTTCTAGCGATAGTGACAGCGATAGAAGAGGTTCTGTACAGTTTTTTCCCAAATGTTTTAAATTACATTTGATAGCAGGTCAGAAGTAGGGGAGGGGGAGAGGGGGCTGACAGATAAAAAAGGTAGCAAAACACACCCTTCCACACTTCCTTTGAAAGTATTACCTTTGCAAATCTAAAATTGGCAGAATATATGATATAAGCCCTGAATATAACAAAATAGCACCAGAAAAGTGGAAATATAAATGAAACTTAAAATAAAATCTAAAGGAATCCAAGTTAGAAGAGCAATCCTGCCTCGTGTCATATATTAAACCAATTTCTAAGCAATTGAAGAAAGATATAAATTATAAAAGAATGAAAACCCAATGGTATGTTTAATATGAGGATTATTCCAGTCTTTGTACTTCAACATGAGATTATACTTCAACATACAAACGATAGTATGCTGTTAAGTCTGTCAGCTTTGATAAGGTTTTGATTAAAGACTATGTAGTTTAAAATCAAACCAAATATCTGTGTATTCAATAACTTTTTAAAGCATAATAACTTTGACCCAGAAAACAAGTTCTGTGAATATTGTCATGTGATGTGCATTGATTAATCATATGCAAACAATGAAAATGACAATTCGCTAAAAATTACATGTTTTCCATATTTGAATATTTTAAAAAATGTGCAAAGGCAATTGATAGATCACCTATTTTCAGATTCCCCAACTCATTTAGATTCAAAATATGTACAAGTTAATCCAAAAAGAGGTCATAGACATCAACATTTTTAGCACTTTGCATGTAGTGGTTTTTGGTGTTTTCGCAGCATATAAAAACGGTTTTCAGCATAGGATAAATGTATTTTCACACAAAGCAGAGTGATTCTGACCACATATTTGAATTCTACAGCTTAAATCACCTCTAGTCACCAAATTTCAGCAGATTATGACAGAAATTTATAACACAGTTACCATTTAAACATTCACTGCACAGAAATTTTAAGCTGTAACGGTTCACTATTTACACTGAAACCTAGTCAACTTCAAATACCCATATTTCCTAAACGGTTTGTCATTTTAAGATGAAATTTTGAATTGCTTTATATCATACTCATATCTCCATTTGTGACAAAAATCAGCAAGACTTGAGAAAGTGGGTTACAAAAGTTGGAAAAATCTGATGATTTGATATGGAATGACTCATACCATTGATTTCTGTAGCTTAAAGGACAGGCATGTTGATCTTCTTTTGACTTGAAAAAGAAAAAAAGACTGTATAAGCATTGACAGCTGGATCTCTAACTTTTAAAGATATATTATAAAGAAAATAAGTACTATATTCCCCACAAACATTACTGCTGTCGTCTTAAATTTGAGGATCAAAATATCTAATTGTTTGACTAGTTTTAAACCTTTTTGCATCCTCTCTAGCTTGTTTCAAAGTACTCGCAGTCATATGTTTGACAGCTGATCTAATGTTAAAATCGTATAAAACGAAATAATAATATAGTGTTCTAACAAGATGTTGAAATTCGGAAAAATAATTTATTGGGTTTTCTTTCGTAAGAATCGAAAAATATGACATTCCAAGTCTATCACAGTATAAAGCTTGCCAATGTAATCCACCATTTTGATGGTCACCAGTATTTAGAAAAAACCCAATTGGGAAACTTTTATCATTTATTATCTTGTAAAAATGTTGTTATGACGAAGGTTTTTATTGACTGAAATTGTGTAATATTTGTATACAGTCATCTTCTGCAAACCCGCCTCCATATTCTTTTTCTAGATCAGGTGTTGAAGAAAGATATTTCAATATTTGAATAATCTCTATTTGCAACGCATACTATTTACTGTGTGAGATTACTGCTTAGTGAGTTTGTCAAAGATTCATCCAAAAGTGGAACATTATATAAAGATGCGAATAATTTACTGTCCTCAATCTTTTCACAATCAGTCATAAATGATTCATATTTATCAGTCCATTTTGGACTTGGAAGAGGTGTCAAACACATCATTTTGACGTCTCGTAAATATTCTAGTAGTTGTATTTTTAACAAAAACGTGTTACGAGTAATAACTTCTAACAACCTTTCAATAGATAACGTTTCATCTTCAAGTTCTTCTCGAGAATCGAATCCATAACCATCCTTCACCATAGATGATAGTGACAACTTCGCCATTACATCGAACTACAGTAAAAGTTTTAGTAACAATGCTGGTTTTTCTGAACATCAAAGCAGCAACATGGTGACTCTCATGCACAATTTTTCAAGAGGGTTGAAAGGCAAATGCTTTTTCTAAGAAAATAGTGAAAAGAAAACTAAATACAATTCAAAATATCTTCTAGTTACTATCCAGTGTCATACTATGTTTTATCATTATTATTTCTTGTGAGACTATTGCTAGAAAATGAAGCATTTTGTATAAAATGCTGGTATCTAACAACATCACAATCAATTAATGTGTGTATAATCGAGATAAGCTGATTAATTATTGAATCACTGGGATGAAAACCAGATTATTTTCCTTCACTGGCTTTCTGGGTCAAGTTTTGTATGACAAATAATAACTGTGTACATTTATAAACCATAATTAGAAAACACATACATGATCAAACAAATTTTTCTCTAGAATATTCGCTGCCCTTCGGCAGCCTCCTCAGTAAGAATCGAGTTAGACTCTTGCATTCTACTAAAGGTCGTTGTTTTTCGCCTCCATTGATTTGCTGCATCAAATTTTATTTCTTTGTTGCGTAGACTGTTTGAATTACACCATTCTTCATTGCTGCTTAGTTCCTAGTTTAATTCTTTAATAAATACAGCCTATGTTACTTGTGTAGCATTGCATCATTGCCACAAGGCGCAAGTATTTTAATTGTTTATTTTGCTGTGGTGTTTTTCTTCAACGTGCTTGTGGAAAATTGAGGTTTTGTCGCCTGCCTCATATTTAGTTAAATGTTTGTTTATTCTTTTTCCTATGCTTCTCGCCGTTTCACCAATCATTATTTTCTTGTTTGGTACACCCTTGGCATTTCATTCGGTAGACAACACCTTACAGTTAACACCCGAGTCCAGTTGGCATACTTTGCATTTGTCCTAATTGCATGTTGGTTTTCGAAACGGATAAGATTTAGCCAGTGATTTAGCCAATTTTTCCCGCTAATATACCTAATTCTTCAACTGCATGGCCTTGTGATAACGTACAAAATGCTGGAGATGAAAAGAAATCTTACAATGTCTGCATTATTCAGTGCAAAGAAAAGCAAACTCCAAAAAAAGATGCAACATATTCAAGCGCGTCGAGTCCTTCGTAGGCCACGATCGACCTGGGTTGCCAATGGCCGTACAGACCATTGGCCGTAAAGATGTGCCAGAATACTGCTGGAAGAAGAATTTTCGTATGTCAAGAATTTCGTTCATGAGCCTGGCTGATGAACTGAGACCTACTATTGGGCCTAGAAATGGCAGCCCAAACTATCGAGGTCTCACAACTGACAAAAAGCTGGCAATCACCTTATCTCAATTACCTCAAAGAAACAAGCTCTCTATGGATGACTGCTAACACTTTTGGGATACATCAATGCACAGTTTAAAAGACAGTTTATTGTGTTTGTTCTGCAATTTGCATAAATTTAGGACCAAAATATTTACATTTGCCTAGAGATATGTGACATTAAGTTTCAGAATTCGAACTGAAATTTGGCATGATTCAGGCATTTGGGTGCATAGATGGGACCCATATTCCTATGAAGAGACCTATAAGAAACTCCCAAGACTATTTCAACTATAAACAGTTCTTCTCATTAAACATCCAAGCAGTTAGTGATGCTAATGGCCAGTTTGTCAATGTCGAGTGCAAGTGGCCTGGATCAGTTCATGATGCCAAGGTTTTTGCCAATTCAGATATCAACGTGAAACTTTACAGAGCTCAGCTTCCCCTGAAGTTTAGCACTGTTCTTCCTGGATTCGAGGCAGTCCCAGACGATCTTATTGGTGATAAAGCTTATCCCTTAACCCCTTTCTGCATGAAAGAGTACCAAACTTGTGCAAGCAATGAAGACGTTTTATTCAATACCATGCTCAGGTTCGCAAGAAACCAAATAGAATGTGCCTTTGGACGCTTCAAGGCCAAATGGAGATTTCTAACTCGTATTGTGGATATTAGGGTGGAAATGGTGCCCACAGTTGTTTTATACTTCACAATTATTGTGAAAGGAATGGAAACTGCATCGATGAGGATGAAATTCAGTCTTAAGTACTTAGAAATCAAATAGAAGAAAGGTGGTTACCCAACACTCCTAATCCAGTATACTAAAGCAATAATGCTGAAGGGGAATATGTTCCATCAATTCTAAAGAACTATGTTAAACAA